ACGATTTACTGCTTGTCCTGCTACATAAAAAAAGAAAACAAAGAAGGTTTTGGGTCCATCCTATATTGAAAAGAAGGAGAGAACATGGCGAGTTTCATCGGTTGGTACAGGAACTGAAGTTGTATCATGGTCGCTTTAGGACCTATTTCAGGATGTCTGTGGGACAGTTTGAAGAGTTGTTGGTGCTGTTGACCTCCCACATGATGAAACAGAAAAATAGTTACAGGCATCCGATCGACCCAGAACAGCGCCTGGCCGTGTGTCTGACATAAAAAAAAAATTTGTTTATTTGTAATGAAATCAGTTTAGTTCACAAGCAAGTGAAGATCCTCTGCTATCCATCTCCATACGTTATCTTTGTATTCGTTATCTTTGTATTCGTTATCTTTGTATTCGTTATCTTTGTATTCGTTATCTTTGTGCTTACAGTCCTTTTTATCATAGATAACTGAATTCGCTGAAACAAATTGGATTAAGCGGTCAGCCATGTTGAATTTGACGTGTCAACAAGCTGTATTGTGATTGGTCAGAGGTGCTGCCGTCGCCGCGACGAGTTGGAAAAATCGGCCCGGCGGCGAAAAAAATTAATGTCACTTTTCGCGTCGCGAAATTACGTCGGCGGTGTGCAATGTATCATTGACAAGTTATTGGTTCGAAAAATATTATTGACGCGCGAATAAATCGCGCGTTAAATTCGCGTCTGGTGTGAAAGGGCCTTTAGACTGCTGCCCCCGCGATCCGGTCCCGGATAAGCGGAGGAAAATGGATGGATGGATGGATGGATGAAACCTATTTTCGTTTCTACATCTCCTTTGCCTCTCTGATAAAAGTGGAATTTACGATGGTAGTGAAGGCATCCGGACTGTTGCTTCCGCGCGTGCGCACTGCAGTTGATCGACGCGCGTTCTATCCTAATATCATGTTAGCTTTCGGTACGGCTGGTTAATACCCGGTGATTCTTTTGTAAGCATGAGGCATTGCACTGTCACCATGACCTGGCGGAAGGAGGAGTAATCTTCTGACCTTGTTCTTTTTTTATTTATTTATTTATTTTTACTGTTAGCTGACCGGCGTTGTTTGGGTTAATCGAAGCAGTAAGCTGCTAGCTGTTAGCCGCTAGCACACCAGTGTGCTGCACTTTAGCTCGGACGTTAACCTGAAGCTCGTTTTGGTTGTGAAGCCAAATATAACATCAACTGAAAATACAGGCGTTCATGAAAACGGAGCTCAGGTAGGTGCACGTGTTATAGTAACAGTACTGTATTTCTATTTTAACTTGTCTCTGTCGGAACGAATGAGCTGGAAAGTTATGTGACGTTAGAAAGTTGACAGAAGTTAGCAGCTAAAGTCTTAGCTCCGTTAGCTTAAACCTCTTACTTTTTCGTTCGACTCCCACAGGGCCACGTTTGTTATGTAACAATAAATCAAACCCGTTGTTGAGTTAAAATTATATGACTGAAATAGAAATATGCCAGTGTGTCAGCTAACTACAGTAGTTGTTTTAATATAGGGTGTGGTTAGGTTTTTATTAATACCATGAGTCTTGTTTATGCGACATATTGACCAATAAATGCATTGCTCCAAACATTACTATATCTTTTGTTATCTGTACAAAGATGGCACCACTATATTAATAACAATAACCAAGCGAAATTAAGATCAAAGAAAAGGGGCAGAAGAATTAGAATCATCTTATTTGGCCAGGTGTGACGGGGACACGAGGAATTTGACTCAGGTACATCGGGTCTCAATGTGCAAACGGTAAACCAGCATAAGGCTGTGTAATATAACGAAATAGCAACATCAACATCAACAAACGGTGCAAAAAATGCAGAAAAAGCAGTATAAACAGACAGTAAACAATGCAGACAACAAAGGAATGTTCATTGAAATGAGATAAATAGGGATAAAACGGAGTACTTAAGAACTAGAGACCTGTACGAGTCTGTATAATCTGTACGAGGTATATTTACAGGTATTGCACTGAGGGTTATTGTCCAATCATACTGTCGTGGGTTAAGTGTTCATCAGAGCGACAGCCTGGGGGGAGAAACTGTCCCTGTGCCTGGTTGTCTTAGTGCACAGTGACCTGTAACACCATCCAGAGGGGAGGGGTTCAAACAGATTGTGTCCAGGGTGTGAGGGGTCAGCAGTGATCCTCTCCACCCTTCTTTTGACCCGTGCGGTGCACAGGTCCTCCATGTAGGGCAGGCTCACACCAGTGACCTTTTCTGCAGTACTGACTATTCCCTGACGTCTGTACTTGTCCTGTTTGGTTGCTGAGCCAAACCAGACAGTGATGGAGGTGCAGAGAACAGACTGGATGATTCCTCTGTAGAACTGTATCAGCAGCTCCTGAGGCAGGTCGAACTTCCTGAGCACAGGAAGTACATCCTCTGCTGTGCCTTCTTGGTGATGATCCTGATGTTGGATGTCCACTTCAGGTCCTGGGAGATAGTGGAGCCCAGGAACTTGTAGGACTTTACTGCTGATACAGTGCTGCCAAGTA